GGGGAAAAAAAAAAAAAACGATTGCAGGGATGTCATAAGATGAGTTGCATAGCTTACAGCCACTTGAAGAATAGACATGATGTTTAGCTAAATTTATAGACGTGGGATATTTATTTATTTATTTATTTATTTTGGTACATGTGGGATAAAGCCATTTTGTTAAAGGAATATTTAAGGCCAACAAGAATTTCCACCACTTCCAAAGACTAATTGCAAATTGGCTTGCGGGAACCTAGAAAAAAACCCTGTTTTTATAAGTTTTAGTGAATAATTTTCACATGAATTTTGTTGTTCGTCTCACTCACATAACATTTTTTAAAATGGTGCACAAATTTTGGTGCGAGTTAGGGAGTGATTGGATATAAATTCAACTAGTAAAAAACTAGTTATTTTTTAACTATAGTTAAGTTTGAAAAAATGTGATATGGTTAGTTGTTAGTAAATATATTAAAATAATATTTAAAATAAAATAATTAAAGTTGATTTGATGTAAAAGTAGGAGAAAATGATTAGAAGTGATAGTTAGGTAAAATTATGTGAGTAGATGAATAGTGAATTAAAGTTGATGTGATGTGTAAAAATGATTGGTTGATATTATTTAATTATATTAATAATATTAAAAATAGTGGAATTGAATTAAATTTGAATTTTGATTGGTTTTTTTACTGTATAATTTGTATACAATCGCCCCTAGTGATTGATTGTCATATTTTTTTTTTAATAAAAATGTATATATATTTTATAAATTACTATATATATAAATTATGATTGATATGTAAATAAATTTATTAACATTTTCATAGCTCCGACTAGTCCGTGCCTAGATGCTAGGCCTCAATAGTTGGACAAGCACCTAGCAAATATAAGAAAAAAGTTAAAAAAAAATATGATTGTTTAACCGTTAGATATGCCAACATAAAATGGATTTATTTATTTATTTAAAAATAAAAAAAAATTAAGTGGACAAAAACCAAAAAATTTAAAAACATGTGGACAAAAATCAAAACCACGAATTTTGAGAATACGTTTTTATCTAAAAAACATATTTTCAAAATATGTTTTATAGTGTAAAATGTATTCCGATAAAACGTTTTAGTGTAAAACGTATTCATATAATACGTTTTAAAAAAATTAATAAATAAAACGTATTTTGGTTATACGCTTTACAAATGATTAAGAACTAAACAAATAATTAAAAACTAAAACGTATTATTCAAATACGTTTTATTTCTTAATTATTTATAAAATTTATTATCAAAATACATTTTAATTATTATATAAAACGTATTTTGATAATACGTTTTATATTTCAAAATTAATGAATAAAAAATTAATATATAACATGTATTTTGTGTTTTGGGCTCATTTGGGCTCGTCTGAACTCGGAATTGAGTTCCGTTTTTTCCTATACGTAGCTAACGAACCCCTCTACACAACCATGATTGCCCGGTCAATTTTTGGGCTAAATCTATTCCTCACGGGCTAAATAATTAACAAATCATTCATTATATAAATAGATGGTCCACGGAGGATTTGTTAATAGGTGATTTGTTAATTATTTAGCATGTGAAAAATAGATTTAGCCCAAAAATAAACCAGACAATCATGGTTGTGTAGAATGGTTCCTTGACGACATATAGGAAGAAGCAGAAATTAATTTCGAGCTTGGACGAGTCCGAACAGGCCCAAAAAGAAAAGTCGCGCGAAACACGTTTAATGTATCAGTCAAGAGCTTTGGGAGAATATGATTTCAAGAATAATTTGGTCATGCAAGTATCATTGAATAGAGGGGTTCATTAGCTACGTATAGGAAAACGGAACTCAATTCCGAGTTCAAACGAGCCCAAACGAACCAAAAACACAAAATACATACTACACATTAATTTTTTTTCATTAATTTTAAAATATAAAACGTATTATCAAAATATATTTTATAAAACGTATTTTGATAATACGTTTTATTTCTTAATTATTTATTAAACTTTCTTAATTATTTATTAAACGTATTCTCAAAATACATTTTATTTATTAATTTTTTTATAACACGTATTATTGAAATACGTTTTTCAATTATTTAAAAAAAATATTTTAAAAATATAATTGTAAAACGTATTAACATAATACATTTTTTTTAAAAAAAATTAATTAAAAAGACATATTACGAGAATACGTGCTTTTTATTTTTTTTCACATTTTTTTTTATTTTTGTCTAGTTATTTTTATTTTTATTTATATATATATAAACTACTCACATAAAATGATATATAGCTTGTAAAATAAATAAAACGGAAAATGATATATGACTTGTAAAATATATAAATAACATGATAGCATTTAATTAATAGAACAATTATTATATTAAACCAACACAATACCTATTCCTCCATTTGTTTTTTCTTTTTTTAGATATAATCTATTTTTCTAATTGGTTAGAATTATTTAAAATAAATAAAGATGCGTTATTTTTTTTTGGGATTGTTGTACTCTTTAAAATAAAAAACAAAGTAAATAATTTACACTCTTTTTTGAGATGTGGGAAATTAATTTAATTTTAAGCACACTACTAGCAAACGGCTTCACTATTAGTTCTCAAACTACCAACTAAAGTTCAAATTAACTCTAAAAGAAACAAAACAAAATAACTAAAGCACAGAAATAATCCTGAAAAGACTAAACTGAGTACATATATATAGAACTGATCTGAAAGAAAACCTTTTGCAAGCTTTTGTTCAACTTCAAATGTATATTTCTTCATAAGTATATATGCTAGGCACACCACGTGAAATCATTTTTTTTTTTTTTTTTTTTTTTTTTTATCACAATAATCAATTTCATGTGTATGAAACTCATGTAATTTGTAGTCTGGTGCTAATAAATACATGTTTATTACATCTTTGATCATGTAGGGAAAAAATATAGATATGTACTGCACAATTAATCAAACTCCTAATTAAAATTTAAAACAACAATTGAACCTAAGAACTTCACAAACAAATATATATAATTAAGTTTCATGTGTACACAATCTCTTTTGTTGGCAGCTTTGCTTGATATCTTTTTTCATGTCTTACCTTTTGTTGTGTGCCTTCTCATTAAACCTCTTCCCTTGATGATAAGCTTTACTACTCTCACCTCTCAACTCAATTTCTGGTCCCCCAACTTCCTTTATTCGGCTTTTCGCCCCCCCTCCGCTGGTCCCGGGTTCCGAAGTTCCATTTTCGCCCCTCGTGGCCCGATTATTTTCCGAGCTTAAATGCAGCTTGCTAAGATCATCCGCGGCAGCCGATGCTTTTCGCCGCAGCTTGTCAGTTGGCTCTCGGGATGCGCGTTTCTTATTGCTCGTGCCTTTCTCGTGCTCGGAGAAGAGGATTTGAACCACCGTCCGAAGAGGTAGGCGCTCGTTTCTCACTGCATGGGCCCGCGCCTCTGGCGAGAGCTTCCGGCAGTCGAGCATCCCGCACAACCGTCTCTTGTCCGTCTTGCTCAAGTCTGGGTGCTCCTGCATGCGGCCGAACGAATATTCGTCGTCATTATGTTCTTTTAATTTTTTTGTAGCTTAGAGAAGTACATTGAAAATTAACAAGAACGAGAAGCATATTAGAAATTAGTTTTTACTTTTGAAATTAAGTTGATATGGAAAATTGGGTAAATTCGACTCCATCGACGCAGAAAATACATTTATAGTCCTGTTGGTTTAAAGTTATAGTAATTTTAATTCAAATGTTCTAACTTTTTTGCCTATTGATCCTGTGATTTAATATTTTGCTGCAATTTCAGTCTTGTGGGGACTGTAATTGCAATAAAATTTTAAATTATAGGACTAAAATTGCTAATAAAAAAATCCATCCCAAATATATAAATTGAGAATTTGTTGCAATTTGAGTCTTTCAAATGACTGAAATTACTGCAAAATATTAAATTACAAACCAAAAGGTGAAATGTTAGAATTTTAGGATTACCTTTAGATAGATATCAATGGCCTTGTAGAGCTCGTCGTGGCCCGGCCTTGCAGGCCCCGGCAAGCTCTCGATCACTCGAACCACCTTCTCGACCGGCAACTCCTTATCCCCCGCAACACATTGCAAGTACCGATCGACCGTTTTCCCGACCCCACGAACCGAACCAAACAACGCCTCCCGTTCGGCACCTCCTCCCGCGGCCGCCGCCCGTTTCCTCCACCGCCTCATGTAGGCCCGCAAAACCGAGACCACCATCTCGGTATCCGGGCCCGCGAGAAGAAAGTCGTCCGGGCCCGCCTCGTCCAGCTGGCGGGCCGAGAGCCGCACGAGCTCTTCTTGGGCCGCGCGGGATTTGGGCCCGTTGTTGGACCTCGACAGGCCCAATAGCCTCATGAGGAACTTAATCGAGACGGAACCTTTCTCGGCCGGGATCAAATTCACGGTCATTTCGAGGATTTTCTTCTTCTTATTCATTTTGGTCGGGTCGGTATGAGAAGTCGAGGGGTTTTCGTTTTCGGGCCCGAGGAGATGGCGGCACGCGTAGACGTGTAGGGCTTCGCCGGCGAGCTGTGGGAGTATTGTGTTTGAGGAGGTTAGAGTGGTAATTACGCGCTCGAAAGTGTCGGGCCCGAGGAGGGAAATGTCTTCGGTCCACCAGTCTTTGGGGGCGGACGAGCGGCGGCGGGCCTCGTGGCCTGGACGGGTATAGGTGTAGGACCAAGTGACCTAAAAGAGAGTGGTGGTTGAATTGAATCAGATTGGAATTAGTGTACTAAAAATTGGAGAAAAAATAGTCCAAAACCAAAGTTTAGTATATACACATTCTTATGGGCCTTGGAATTCTGCAACATAGCAAGATTTGCTTGCATACAAGCTATGTTGTTAACCAGTTCAACTTTCGAGAACAAAAGTTTATTCGTGTTCGTCAAAAGTTTGTTCTTTGTTAATCGAGCCGAGTTCGAACAGAAAACTAGGCTCGTTTAATAATCGAACCAATACTGTCTCATTTGCGAATATTAATTTAATATAAATTTAATTTGATTTTTATGTTCACATGTGTGGTTTTTTTTTTTTTTAAAAAAGTCAAATATATGAAAAAACATTTTTATTTTATCTTTTATATTTTTGAGCTCGAACGAATAGATCTGGAGTTAACTAAATAATTTTTTTCAAAAAAGAAATATTGTTTACTAAATTATTCAAACACGAATGAGTTCGAACACAATTTTTTGCTCTAAATATGAAAGAACACGAACAATGTTCGAACATAATCGAACTCGAGCTCGAAATGCTCACGCTCGGCTCGTTCGGTCTCAAGGGGTGCAGTTGTAATTATAAAAGGTAATCGGGAAAATTTTGTAATTAACCTACACTCTAGGGCAACTTATGCAATTAACCAAAACTTTCATGCATGACCAAACTAATAATACACTTCTAGGAGGGGAAAAAGGAAAAATTCCAACCTTTGCCAGAGGCGTCGAGATCTTGTCGACGATCGACTCTATGCACTTTCTCACGACACCAAGATTCTCACACCACTCGTATGCACCCTCCGTGTTCCAAAGCGCGACCACCGAGTCCTTCCATCCCTCGAGAATGCACGACGAGAAAAATGTCTCGAGCTTCTTCACAAAGTTTCCATTATCGGAAGACTCGGTCATCCTTAGGAACCTTGCGGCACAAAATGCCGGGACAAAATTGTTGGCGCTTAGTTCGATTGTGATCCCGTAGCAAAACTTGGCGCATAGCTCGAATGCCTCATCCCCTCCCGGGATGTCGTGTAGGTCCACGACGAAGCTTCTAGAATCTTCTGCTGAGGAGACGAGACGTTGCAACAGGCCGCACTTCGGGAGAAGGGCGTACTGCGGCTAGGCGGAAAAAGGGGTGCGAGGCCCAAGTGAGAAACAATATACATATAC